AGGAAGCTACCACCTTAGCTTTTTTTTATCTGATTTGACAGTTAAATTCCTGGCATGCTGGGAATGTAACTGGTTTGTGAAACTGTTCAATTGATGGGTTTAGTTCCACTTTCATTCCATTATATCCTCCTCCTTCTGTGTATGACCTATACATTAACCACTTTCCCACCGCCCTATAGCAGAAACACTGCTACAGGGTGGCAGGGCTGCGCAAAATCACGTGTATATATAGGTGATTTTGCATTCATGGGTAGGGGACGCGCATGCATCCTACCTGCGCCGCCATTGGCAGCCTCAGCTGTCGATCACTGGGTGCCGGTGGGGAATCACCGAGTATCACTGACGGGGGAGAGACCCTGTATGTAAACAATACAGGTCTCTCCCCTGTCAGCTCCTACACTTTGCTTTGTATGGCTCTGCATAGCAGAGCCATACAAAGTAATGTGCTGACACAGTGAAAGACACACACAGCACACAGTAAAACAGCACACAGTTAACCCTTTTAGTGTCCCAGATGTTAACCCCTTCCTGCCCAGTGCCATTAATACAGTGTCAGTGCTTTTTATTAGCACTGATCACTAGATTAGAGTCACTGGGGATGTCAGTGACAGTTAATCAGTTGCCCCCAGTGTCAGAATGCCCACCGCAGTCTCGCTATAAATCGCTGATCGCCACCATTACTAGCATAAAAAAAAATCCCAGTATATATACCTACATTTGTAGATGCTATAACTTTTAAACCAATTAATTTACACGTTTTAGGATTTTGTTTAGCAAAGACATGTAGCAGAATACATTTTGGCCTAAATTTATGACAAAATTTGATTTTTTAAATTTTTTTACTGGACATGTTTAATAGCAAAAAGTCAAAAATATGTTTTGTTTTTCTCTCAAAATTCACAGTTTTTTTTTTTGTTTATAGCACAAAAAATAAAACCGCACAGGTGATCAAATACCACCAAAAGAAAGCTCTATTGGTGGGAAAAAAGGACATAAATTTCATTTGGGTGCAGTGTTGCATGACCACGCAACTGTCAGTTAAAGTAACGCAGCGCCGTAATGCAAAAAAATTACCTGGTCGGGAAGGGGGGTAAATCCTCTAGAGGGCAAGCGGTTAAAGTGGAACTTTAGTGCACAATAAAAATGGGCTAACAGGCAGGACGTTCAATGCAGAGACATGTTTTATCTCTTCTGCTTTAAAACTACTTACCTGCCTGTCCACCCTTGTACATTAAGCCACACACGGCTAGCTCACTCTACAAATTTAGCAATGGCGAATCTTACTGACCTCCTGTACATACATGGGAGTGACGTCATCCCTGCCTGGCCAATGAAAGAAACTGGCGATTTAGACCCAAAAGCCAGCCACCCCAAAATATCAGCAGCTTAGCGGGGACACCACATCACTGGAGATGAGTATAGTTCCATTTTAACCCCTTCATCTCCATCTTCCCACTGTATGTAACCTGCACATTAACCCCGTCACCTCCTCCTTCCCTTTGTGTTTGACCTACGATGCTGCTGTATCTAGCACACCATTACAAACCCCAATGTTTTAATCCTCTCAATGCCAGTATGTCTCTTCATTTAAAAAAATGTGATCACCTTGGGGTGTCTACTTTTTTGGTCATTTTGGGGGGTTTCGTACTGTCCTGGCATTTTTATTTGATATGTTTTACAAAAGTAAGTAAGGTAAACAACTTATTTTCTAAATGTTTAGCCTTTTTCTTTTCTTTATATCATAAAATATGTATATACCGGTACACAAGTGAATAACTAATTAATTCAAGCTTGAGTTGGTTATGTGAAGGGTTTTCAGTAAAGCCCAACCCTAGGATGTCTGAAAATTCCCCCTTCAGTGGTGCCACAACTGTACTACAAGGGTTAACTGCTTGTTTAGGCCCAGGGGACATGGAAAAGTAGCTTTATTTACCTGACCCTCTGCTCTGCTAGACTGGTTCCCACAGCCTCTTCTCCCCCCATGCTACAGTAGTCTAAAGGTATAGGTAAAGGCCAGCTTAAGATCCTGACATCATCAAGGCCATGCAGGGACCATAGCCCTGCATTGGACATGATGAGGGAAAGTCCATTGTTGGAACATGGAGGAGCACCGCCTGCTGGGGGATCATATAAGTAAAAGTTCTATTAAGCTGGTCATAGATGGTTTGAATCTCAGCCAGTTCAGCAGGTACTGGCTGAGATTCGAACCGTGTATTGGCAGGCTGAATATACACAAGTTGATTGATCGTTCAAATAGGGTACAACCAGCCTGTCAGATTTTACATGCGAATATTGCTAGAGGCTGTTATAGACACTATACATAATCACTGTGTTCTCCTGGAGGGGACAACTTCCCCCGCCGGGAGGACACAATGGCTCTATAGGAGAGATTTCCCCATCAACACTGACTGGTGGTTGCAGGATAGGATTTCACTCCATCTATGGCCAGCCTTACTCTTCCCTCACAATAAATGAGCAGTTAAAGTGACACTAAAGGTTTTTTTTTTAACAACAAACATGTACTGTACTTGCTTGTCTCCAAGCCACTGCTCTATGCATCCATAAGACACATAGAGCCGCAACTCGGCCCTGCCCCCTGCTCTCTCCTCATTGGCCCACTGGCTGTGATTGACAGCATAAATAAATCTCTTAAATGTGTTGCGCTGCTGAAAAATCATATATATAACCCCCTTAAAATCAAGTAAAGTGCTTATATAAATAATGCCAATAATAATAAATTCATGTCATTTCAAAAGTGACAAAAACAATCCAATAAAAGTGCCAAAACAAACATGAATCATGACAATATAAACAATGTAAACAATCCGTGCTCAGTCCGCGCAACTAATGGCAAAATAAAGTGATAATAGTTGCACGGACTGAGCACAGATTGTTTACACCTTTGGGGGACTGAACTTTAACACATATTTATTACATTATCCATTTATAATTTTTTATTTATTTATTTATTTTCATTCATTCATTTATTTATTATTATTCTCATGATTCATGTTTGTTTTGGCACTTTACTGGATTGTTTTTGTCACTTTTTAGATGACTTGAATTTATTATTATTGGCATTATTTAGATAAGCACTTTATTTGATTTTAGGGGTGTTATATATATGATTTGTCAACAGCGCAACACATTTAAGAGATTTATTACACAGTGAGTGCAGCTGTTGGATTTTCACACATATCTTCACCTTTTTACATTTTTGTATGATTTTTACTTGATTTTAATTGTTGATTTTTCATACACAGAGTGCAGGGTAGTAACTTTAGTGTGATTGACAGCAGCTGGAGCCAATGGGCTTCAGCTGCTGTCTCAGCCAATGAGGAGGACGAGTCCCTAGGCAGTAGAGGCTGTCGAGAATATTGCTGGATCAGAGGGGGCTCAAGTAAGGATTGGGGTAGGCTGGGGGGGCGCTGCACGAAGACGGGTTTTTTTTTACCATGCATAGAATACATGAGGGTAAAAAACCTTGAGCCTTTAGAACCTTGAAATACAATTAACTCATTTTTAACCCTTGCAATGCTGACACAGCCCCACTACAAGGGGTAATTTTGGAAGCTGGGCTTTAACACCGCATGTCTAGTAAACATCTGCGTATATCTGTTACAATGTCACCTGAAAGTGGGTGGGATATATTAAACAACAAATGAACATGTTGTCCCTGAAGTTGATAAATTGAAAGCAGAAAAAATGGGTAAGCGTAAGGATTTGAGCGACTTTAACAGGGGACCAAATTGTAATGACTAGACAACTGGGATCAGGCAACTCCAAAACTACAGCCCTTGTGAGATGTCCCAGTCTGCAGCAGTCAGGGCCTACCAAGAGTGGTCTATGGAAGGGTAACAGGCAGCAGGGTAATAGGTGGCCAAGGCCCATTGATGCACACATGGAATGAAGATTGGCCTGTGTAGCCCAATCCAAAAGAAGAACTACTGTAGCTCAAATTGCTAAAAAAAAAAAAGTTAATGCTGGTTCTGATAGAAAGCTGTCAGAACTAGGGACGGACTGACAACTCAAGGGGGCCCCCGGGTAAAAAGCCTATGAAAAAGCCAATGAAAGGTACCAGGGGCATCTCATGGGACCCTCTACCGACCATGGGCCCTCGGGCAGTGCCTGAGTGCATGAATGGTCTGTTCGTCCCTGGTCAGAACACACAATGCATTGCAGTTTGTTGTGTTGGGGCTGTGTAGCCCATGTTCACAATCAAAAGTTCCTACAATGGATACATGAGCATCAGAACTGGACCACGGAGCAATGGAAGAAGGTGGCCTGGTCTGATGAATTCAAGAATGCTTTGTGGAACACAAGTTCAAGGTGTTGACATGACCTCCGAATACTCCAGATCTCAATCCAATCGAGCATCTGTGGGATGTGCTTGAAAAACATGTCCGACTCATGGAGGCCCCACCTTGCAAGCTACAGGACTTAAAGGATCTGCTACTGATGGCTTAGTGTCAGATACCACAGCATACCTTCAGAAGTTGATGGCGTCCATGCCTTGATGGGTTACAGAGGGTGGTCATAATGTTATAACAGATAGATGGATAGATGTTTTTGATCACCACACTAGGGTTGCCACCTCATCACTTTAAAACCGAACACATTAATTACACAGGTTCTGAGGCTAATGCCTAGATTGTAAGCTCTAACGAGCAGGACCCTCTGTTTCCTCTTGTACCAAATTGTATTGTAACTGTAATATCTACCTTCATTTTGTAAAGCGCTGCGCAAACTGTTGGCGCATAATAAATCCTGTATAATAATAATAATGCAGAGATGGCACTAGTTGAGTTTGACCGCTTCAGAAATACTGCTACAGGGTAGCACGGTGTGCGCAAAATCACGTATATACTGTATGTGATTTTGCTGTTCTGTGTAGGGGGTGAGCACGCCCTACCCATGCCACCATTCGCAGCCTCGCCTGTCAATCATCGGGTCCAGGCCGGTAATTCCCCGCCGGCACCCAGCGGTCTCTGAGGATTTATGACAGAGGAGAGACCTGTGTATAAACAACACAGATCTCTCCCCTGTCAGCTCCTGCACACAGCTTTGTATGGCTCTGCATAGCAGTGTGCTTACAGTGTAAAGCACACACACAACCAACATAGTGAAACGGTACACAGTTAACCCTTTGATCACCCCAGATGTTAACCCCTTCCTGCCCAGTGCCATTAGTACAGTGTCAGTGGTTTTTTTTTTTTAGCACTGATCACTCTATTGGCGTCACTGGAGATGTCAGTGACACCAAGTCAGTTCCCCCCAATGTCAGAATGCCTGCCATAGTCCCGCTATAAGTCGCTGATCGCCACCATTACTACTATGAAAAAAAATCCCAGTATCTATACCGCCATTTGTAGACGCTATAACTTTCACTTAAACCAATTAATTTACACATATTGGGATTTTTTTAGCAAAGACACGGAGCAGAATACATTTTGGCCTAAATTTATAACGAAATTTGATTTTTAAATTTTTTTACTGGACGTTTCATAGCAAAAAATAAAAAATATTTTTTTTTTTTCAAAATTGTCTTTTTTTTGTTTATAGCGCAAAAAAAAAAAAAAAACACAGAGGCGATCAAATACCACCAAAGTTCTATTGGTGGGGAAAAAAAGGACTTAAAATTTAATTTGGGTGCAGTGTTGAATGACCGTGCAATTGTCAGTTAACCACTTGCCGACTGCAGATAGCTGAATGACAGCTTCATCGCAGCTGGCCAGATCTGGGAGGGTGTCATATGACGTCCTCTCAGAACACCCCCCCCCCGATGATCTCTGTGTCCTATGGACACAGCTGATCGTGATGTGGTAAAAGGCCAATCACAGCGGCCTTTTACCACGTGATCGGCTTTGGCCAATGACACAGCAGATCACCGGTAAATGCAGTTGCCAGTTATTGGCTGCACTTTCCTCACAGTGTGAGGAAAGTACTGCCGATAAACAGCAATTGTCAGTGTACCCAGATGATCAGTGCCCATCAGTGCCACCCACCTGTGCCCATCAGTGCTAGTAGTGCCACCCACCTGTGCCCATCAGTGCTAGTAGTGCCACCCATCCTGTGCCCAGCAGTGCCGCCCATCAGTGCTGCCCAGCACTGCCACCTGTGCCCATCATTGTTCCCTATCAGTGCCGCCTATCTGTGCCACCTCATCAATGCTGCCTATACGTGCCCATCAGTGCCGCCTATCAGTGCAGCCTCATCAACGCACATCAGTGAAGGAGAAAAATTACCTGTTTGCCAAATTTTATAATAGAAACACAGAAAAACTTTTTTTTTCCAAAATTTTTGCTCTTTTTTGTTTATAGCGCAAAAAGTAAAACCAGTGGCGATTAAATACCACCAAAAGAAACCTCTATTTGTGTGAAAAAATGATGATAAAAACTTCATTTGGCTACAGTGTCACATGACCGCTCAATTGTCATTCAAAGTGCGACAGCGCTGAAAGCTGGCCTGGGCAGGAAGGGGGTATTAGTGCCTGGTAGGCAAGTGGTTAAAGAAACGCAGCGCCGTAACGCAAACAATGGCCTGTTCAGGAAGGGGAGTAAATCCTCAGGAGGGCAAATGGTTAATGAGCACATTTTTGTCAGCCCCAGAACCTGTGTAATTAATGTTTGGTTGTAGAGGGATGAGGTGACAACCCTACCCCACACACATACATTGCTAGTAACTTGGTGTATACTCCAGGCCCCAATTCCTGTCTAGTTATGAGGTGGTTTGTGGTAAACATCGCTCAGTGACATGATATCAGCCCCTATTCCTCCACACACACCCCACCCAAACATCCCAATGCTCATTCTTCCTGCAGCATGACTCTCCCAGCCATGACCTCACACAGCCCAGAGCAGCGGCAGTCTGCCACAAAGAGAACCGAAATGGACAAGCCGAGGAGCCAATCAACACACAGAACTAAGACCGGCTTCTCCGAGCTTCGCCCTCCCATTGGCTGTTTTATTTTTATGAAGGCGGGACATGCCTTAACGCCACATGCTAGAGGATCAGGTAAAAAAAAAAAAAAAAGAGATTCCAGACAGACAGGACGAACGGCCAATCACGTCGCCTGGGCACCGATTCTCCCCAATGACAGACACCGTAACGGTTCGAAGCGGCCAATCACTGCTCACCAGGGGCGTGCCTTGGTATATAAATTCCGCAGCTGTCTTCACTGGTGGCTAGATGATGCCGAAAAGAGGAGCCATGTCCACTACAGCTACATTCCAGGGACTGGACCCCGAGAGCCGCAGCAGCTCTAGGTGAGGCCTGCCATACAGTTCGGGCTGGGTCTGTGAGGGGGAGGGTGGGGCAGTGCCCGGGTGCTGAGCCGGAATGACCGGTGGCTGTGTGAGGTAATGTGCCCAGAAGGTGGAGGCTGTGCCCCGGTGTGGGGGACGCCTTGTCCAGTCATATGGAGTTACTGCAGTGCTGTGTCCCCACCATAGACCCACTGTGAGGAGCGCGGCCATTGTCCTCGGATGGGAGCTCACTGTCCGCCCTCCTGGGTGAGGCTCCTCTGCTGGAGGATAACAAAGGGAGGAGGCCGGCCTGTGCGGCATGGACACCTCTCCTTTCCTGTACATCCATCACCGGTACTAGTGGGGGGAGCACCTTGTCAGCTGGACCCCCACACATGTGGAAGGTTCTGGTCACACTGGGCGGCGAGGAGTCGCTGGGAAGACTGGAGATTCCCGATATTGGCAGTGTGTGTTGGGTGTTGTACATCCTGCGCCTGGGTTCACGTTGTGGATCGCACAGGAATTGCTGTGTTCACTGGATCAGTGTTATCAGGGGTCCTAGTTCACACTGTGCTGCAATTCCTGTGATTAGACCTCCCCAATGCAGGGCCATCTTTACCACAGAATGTACCTAAGGGCCAATTTGGCCCCTGAGCTTCTTTGCTGTGACCAAGGGAGTCTGTTCATGTGAATGGACTGGCTGTGGGTGACACATTGCATGAAAATTGCACATACAAAACTGCAAATGGGGCCTAAGGCCTGCTGGCATTACAAGTGGGTGTTTAGGGGGCATTATTGCTGCTTCCCTAATGCCAAGCAGAGGCCTATGATGGATCTGCATAGCCACCGAACTGGTCACATGTGGAAACTGTGCATTTGTATCTGTGTGGCAGGAGTGAAGCTACGGGTCGCATCTGAGTTGCTTTTCAAGTCTATGGTAATGGGCTGTAAATACATCTGTAATTATTCTGTGTATCATAAACTAGTTGCTTGTGGGGTGGGGAGATAAATGGAAAGTTTAATTCCTTGTCTTTTTTGTTTTGTTTTTTTTTTTCTCCCACATCATACTGTCCTGCTGTGTAATGGTTCTGCAGACTGCCCCAGTCCTTCTCTTCTGGGTTCCCCCACTGGTGCTCCTGGTTCCTCACAAAGTGCTTGCTCCCAAGCTGGCTGTGTCCATAGACACACAGAGCATGGCTCAGCCTGGCTCCTGCTCCCCCCTCACAGGCTGTGATTGACAGCAGCCAATAGTTGATGCTGTCTCTGAGCTGATGAGGGAGAGCTGCTGCTCTCCAACATATAATTGGGTAGATTGGGCTTAGGTGAGTAAATGGGGGGGGGGGGGGGGGGGGGGTGCATGCTGAAGGTTTTAATGTTAAAGTGATTGCATTCTATGTATGAAGGTAAACTGTAGCAGCTCCTTTAACACCTGAGCCACATTGCTATCCTGTGATGTGCACAAGGCCCTTGGCTCTCTGGGGACTCTCCCTTATTGGTGCTATTGGCTCTTGCTGCTGTCAATCACATACAGTAGCCAATGAGGGGCTGGGGCCAAGCCTTATCTGTGTTAATAGACATGCAGAGCAGGAGCTCAGGAGTGAGCCTGCATGGGTGCCCCTATAGAAAGCTGCTGGCTCTGGGGGGCTCTTGGCAGGAGAGGGGCCAGGAGTGCTATCGGGAGACCTGAAGTGGAGAATCAGGGGCTGCTCTGTGCAAAACTGCACAGAGCAGGTATAACAGGTTTGTTTTAAAAAAAACATTTAATATCACTTTTATTCATTGAATGCATTGAAGTGGTAGTAAAGTGAAAGTTCTTAATCTGCTGATAGGGTTTTTTGACACACTAGGTCTCTTCTGTCATAAATGCTCCCCCTACCTGTCAGTGAGTAATGTGATCTGAGCCACACATGCACAGCTCAGACCACACTTACAGCCTACTTTGTATGCTGCAGCAATATGCTTCTAATGTACATGGGTGGGAGTGACTTCCCCTTGGCCCCGCCTTTCAAGCAGCCAAAGATGCAAGACTGGGAGATGGAGGCCCCCAGGGAGACCCATGACAGCTCAGCGCTGGAGGGCTTCATGTGTAGGCAAATCTGTCAGCATGTGCTAGTATGCAGTGCATGCTGGGAACATTAGAACTTAAACCTGCCAGGGGTCCAATTTCTATTGTTGGGTAAAGCATGTTGTTCCTTGAGAACCACTTTAATACACTTGGAGGTAGTCTGATGTGCCTTTTAATGTGTTGATGGAGGTGGGTTGGTTTGCATTAGCCAGTATGTGTGAAATGTGACCTTATTGCGGCCTCACACCAGGGCTGCCAGTGTAATCCTCTGCCTTCATAGTGTTGATGCTTCTGTGTTAACAAATTGCTTTGACATTGGTGCTGGGAAGCAGCCTGGATTTTCAAAGTAGAATTCTCTAACACTAACTAGCCTTGGAGGATCTTCAGTCTGGAAAGTTGGCAACTACAAATGCCTCCTGCTGATGCCAAAGTGCATTGCCCCATAGACTTCAGTAGGAGCACAAACACTGAAGCACCTGCACTTTCAAAAACAAAGCACCATAGTGTGATTTCCACTGTTGTGCATTGCAGTGTGATGGTACACTGGAGAAATTGTACCAGTCTAAACGGGCTCTGCAGTGCACATGAAAATCAGATTTTCATTGTGGCCAGGGCACATGGGAAACAATGGTTTTAGGTCCTTGCATTGATTTTCTAGGGCAGGAAACCACAGGTTTTGTCAACAAGCCCTTATAGATGCGTACTGTAACCTAGAATTGCTTTGCCAGGATCTTATTTTGCTGGGCAATCTAGCTGTAGATAAAATAGAATCACTGTTTAGTGCCCAGTCACTTTTGTAGCATTTGGAATGTCTGCCCTCCATTGCCTTCAGTGGATCCTTAGCTTTTCTGAGAAGCCTGGGATTGTGGCTTTCAGTGGGGTCAGTTGCCCAGAGGAGCTACAGGACCATCTGTTCAATCTCCTCTGACAAATGGTCCCAAGACAAGGATTTCATCACTTCCAGTTTCAGAGCTGTCATTTCCTGCCTGTTAGTCTGGGAAGCAGCTGATCTAACACAATCTGTATTTGATCAGCTGCCTTGGAGGGGAGGCATGAGGGTGGGGGGAGTCTATTGACCCTTGCCATAATGTCTCCATAAAGAGTACCTGTCACTGCAGATATGGCAAGGGAGGCCTGGTCACCCCCTTTGTTTTTGAGTTAAAAGAAAAAGCAAAACCTTGGGCATGTGTGCACCTAATCATTTAAAAGTAGTTGTAAAGACAGAAGGTTTTTTACATTAAGGGTAACCCGTGTGCAGCTTCCTTTTGCTTAACCAAGCCTGAATGCTGCTCATTGGCTGAAATCCAGCAGTGGGAGGGATTGTCTCCTTTCAGTGACAGCCAGTGAGCGGGGTGCTGAGCCAAGCTGCACTGTCAGTGGACACAGCATGGCTTGAGAGTAAGCCAGCATGCTCGCTCCATAGTAAGCAGCTTGGGAATCCCTTAAATTGCTGTGTAACGAAAGGCAAAACTTTAGTTTTGGATATAGTGAAGGATTAGCATCCCTGGCAGTTTTTATTGCTGTCTGGGCCCCCTGGCAGGGAGATTCATGCTTTGTCCTGTTCTCATTGACAGTAAACCCAATCTTCATTCTCGGGTAAGTCTTTCATAATGTTAGTATGCAATGCAGTAGAGCCTGCAGGCTTTAAGATTCTGATGCAGAATTTTGCTGTACATTGGGTCTTTGGCTCTAACAACTAGATTTGTATTGCAATAACAAATGCCATGAACTTGCTTAACTTGTACTGGTTGCTTTTACTAAAATCTGAATGCCTGTCACTGTCAACAGTCAGACATTCATATGCTTAATCACTCATGGATCTCAAATATTTCCAATTGTTGCAATGCTAGTCTTATACAGACTGACATAAATATTTGCAAATATTTGCAGATACTGACTGATTTGTTTCAGGTCAGTGACTCAACTTGTTCTGACGACTTTATTGTATTGAAGTGGGAGGATTGGCATGACACTAGATGCCTAATTTGCAGAATGAATTCTACAGGTAGTCTGTCTTGTTGCTTGTCCTAGGTTTTTTTTGCCTTCACCAATGGCTTATGGAGTTTACAATACATTAAGCTTGTGTTCTTTCCTCTAGAGTCCTGAGACCTCCAGGTGGGGGCTCCAGCTTCTCTTTTGGTGTTGGTGATTCACAGCAGCAACAGCCTGTTAGAAAACATAAGATGGCTTCCAACATATTTGGCATACCAGATAATGAACCATCTCCTGCATCTCACGCTTCAGAAAAAGGTAAACACCCACTGCCTTATGTATACTTTAAAAGATTTTTCAGGATCTTATAATAGTGGAGCTGCATGATGAATACATAGGATGGGCTTAGAGGACCTTCAGCCTACCCCACTTTTTTCTAAACTCCAGCTTAGCAGGTGTAGTCACAGTACAGATACTTTGCCACTGGATCCTGTTTCTGATATCATTGTCAACACACTGCTCAGTTCTGTGCTTTTATTGTGACATCATTGCATGTTCCTGCCAACAACCTAGAAGAGCTGGCAGGGCCTCTAAATGATTTGCTGCTAGGCCTGCCCTCACTGAAATGAGACTGAAGGCCTCCTGGGATATGATGTGCATATCCCAGAGGCCCAAGTGAGCACTACATGTCAGTCTCCTAGGTGATTGATGTGGAGATGTGCTTTTGTTAAAAATGGTAAAGTGGTAAGTACCAGTGCATATTTGAGGAGAACCTGTCACGTTGGGAATTTATGTAAAAGATGCACTAGGTCTACATTTTGAAGAATGTTACTCCCCTTGCAAATTTGTACTTGGTGTGAGATTGTCCTTCTGGCTGCTTGAAGGATAGCCAAATGAATGCCACATACAGGGTTCCAGTGAAGAACAGGAAGTGGACAGTGGCAGGTCATGCTTGCTGAGATGTAATTTAGCATCTTGGTGGATTTTGAAGGAAGGTATGGCATGTATTTAAGCACCTAGACAGCTTGAGACCAGAAACTGATGGGAATTTTTCAGATTTTGGCTATGCAGGGTCTATACATTTTGACTCTAAAGGAAATTAAAAAATAAACATGTCATGCTTGCCTGTTCTGTGAAGTGGTTTTGCACACAGCAGCATTAACCCTCTTCTGAGTTCTTCCACCTGAACTCCTGGCTCTTTACCCCCCTCCCTGTTGGCACCATAGCAAGCCCCCTGCTACAGGGCCTTTGAACGGGCTCAAACTGGTCTGTCCACTGACTCACAGCTTGGCCCTGCTTTCTCCTCACTGGTTGTGTGGTTGTGATTGACAGCAGCAGGAGCCAATGACTGCTGCCTCAGTCTCCAGTAAGGATAGCATCTGTTCTCAGGCAGTGCTGGATTGAGATCTGGCTCAGGTAAGGAAGGGGTGGGGGGGGGGGGGGGCAGCACACTTATTTTAATGCAGAGCATTCATTAAGGTTAACCTTTTGCATTCAGAACCACTTTAGTCTGCTTTCATTCAAACCCAGCAAGTACCACTAACCTTTTATTCTGGAGACCTGGATAGTTCCCCATTGTGGATGCCTTCTAATACTTTGCTTAGGCAGACTTGGTGCTTTGCCGTTTCCCCCACATCTGCAACTCCTTCAGATGGTCAATGGAGAGGTTCTGGTGCCAGGAGGGGTAGCTGAACCAGTCAGCCAGGTTGGTGGGGGGAGGGTCAGTGCCATGCTAGAGGTGGGGCTGTATGCTATCAGAGGTGGCAGGACTTGATGACTTCAGTCTAAATGCCATCTTCTCAGGGGCTGAAGGGGGGTAGGCTGCTTGTGTTGGTGGCCACCACCATTGAAGGCTGCAGCTGTGCTGTGGATGGCTGGCCTCCACTTGTTCCCGGCCATATCAGTGGTGTGGGTGACTGCATCCTGCTACAGGGGCTCTCTGGGGAAGGGGGGTTGCTGTGTGGTGGGGGGGGGGCAGGCCTGCAGTGTCCTTCAGAGGGCTGGCTTTCATTGGGCTGTGTGGAGAGTTCAGGGGTTCTTTGCCCATGAGGTGTGCACTGGGGGGCTCTTCCTTGATTTTGCACAGGGGTGTCTCCAGGCTCCACTATATGGGGTGGGGGAGGAGCTGACCAAAGATGTGATGTGGTGACCTGGTGCCAGAGATTTGTTGAGCCCTGGTGTGAAATCCTTAGTGAATTGGATCTAAAACGTTTGTAAATTTAGTCTTCAATCCTTGGTTTGGCTCCCTGTACAGCTTCAAAAGCTCATACAGACCAGAGGCACATTGAAGGAACTTATATCAGCAGCTGAACAAGTGAAGCATTCACATTTTCTTGTACATAGTTTAATACCAGAATCTTGCTATAATTGGCTGTATAAAGTGTCCATAATGGCATGTTATATTTGCTGTAGTATGGGATTCCAGTCAAGCATGGTAACGGCTCATTGTTTGCTGCGTGTTGCTGACAAGGTGACGGCAACAAGCCGCAATCAAACAAGTGTGAAGAGTGATCGTGAAGTCCTTGGAGCTGATTGGCAAGTAGGTAAAGCATGGGGATCAAACCTGTATGGGTGAAGCAAAACTGTTTTGTAAGCCATAGTGGTAGATTTACTAAGTGCAGACTGCAGTTGCACTCACTATTTTCCTTAGTAAATAGGGCAGAGCTTTTCTTTGTGTAAAATCCAATCCAGTACATGAAATTGATAAAACAGAATTTTAAATGCACATGATTGATGGAAATGACAGCACTTTTTTAACTGGGTAATTTTTACTAACCAGATTTTTGCAAATGGGTAAAATAAAAGAACTACAGTTTAAAAAAAATTAGTAACAGCACACTTCACATTGCAAATGTGAAACATACGATCTAGGTGGATATGCAGGACAAGTACATAACACAAACTGGCAGAGCTTTACCACATTCACTAAGCTCTGGGGAAAAATGAGTGCAACTGCAGTCGGCTTGCCTTCAGTAAATCAGCCCCATGGTGTCCACCCCCTTAAACTGTCTGATTTAACACATCCCAGCCCACCCCACTTTAAAACTTAATCTATGCTAGCATTCCCCCCATCCCTATGTTTGCATATTCCTGATGGGGATGAATTTGTACCATACAGGAGTACAGCTGCATTAAAGGTACCAGTGAGTTGTGCAAGTGCACAGCACTGGGGAAGACTGATCTTCCCTGGAGTTGGTTTGGATTGAAGTTTATCTTTGCTGGCTGACCCCTTTTGCAGAAATCCTCACTTGCAAGGCTCACTTTTGTGGTCACCTTGCCTATGCAGGACAGTGGGTCTTTTGCAAAGGGCATCCCTAAGCCCCCCTTACTTGCCCTACCTGAACCTCACTCATTGCTGCTGAGAATACCACTATAGATATGTGGGAGCATGTGAACTACTGCCCTGAATCTTGGCCTTTCCTATTAGCCAGCCTTTAGACCTGACTGTCCAGAGGAATATAATTGCTTCCCTGGGTTGTAGAAAACAGCTGGCCCTGGCAGGGTGCAGATAAAGGTGGTGGTAGTAGTACCTTACAAATTGTGGGTAAGGTGACAGCTTTAAGATTCCATAAGATGTATGTACAGGTGTAACCTGTTTAACATTGTTTTCCAGTAAGCTTCTCAATCTCTTGCAGATAACCAACATAGTTCAGCTTGTGGAAACCCAGAAGATGCACAGAAAACGTGTATTCAGGGAGAATGTGGAGAAGCTGCTGATCAGATGGTTTGTATCTGTAAATCTAAACTAATTATTGCCAATACCTACCTACAGTTTGACTTGTTTAGAAACCTGTTTAGCTATCAAATGATGGGTGATAGATGCCATGGGTTCTGCACAGCCACAACTTGGTGATCTGGTCAAAGATTTTACAACAGGGTGGATAAAAATAAATTTTAAAAAAAAAAATCCTTTTTATTTAAATCAGGATTTTTTTTATTTAAATTTTTTTTTTATTAATATATTACCATCCAAAGGTTATTCCATCATGAAATAAAGATTAGTTTTTTAATTATGTAGAGGTTTTTGTAAGATTATTGGGCAGTTTCTCTGCCTACAAGATATTATCACAGATACTTGGTTTACTTTTGCAGTTCTCAAAACTGAATTTGACTCAGCAGAGATCACATGCCTCTTCACAGCAAAAATGTCTTAACATGAACGGAGTTAAGAGACCTTAATCCTAACTTCTACAAACCTTGAAACTTGGCACTGAAGGGGTTGATTCTGTATTCATAGAAGTTCAGTGAATAGAAACAATATTTTTCTGATTGTTTGGAGTGGAATAGATCTGCACAAGAAGAAAGCGAAACTAAGTGTGAGGAGGAAGGGGCTGACAGTCTAAGTTTCTTAAAATATATATATTTTGTTTAGCCAAATTAGTTAACAAACATGGATGTTTGTTTAAGCAAATAACATATGCTGGAATGTTTCAGTTGAATAAATCTATTTAAATTGTTAAGGTAATGATTATTTTTCTCTTTCCTAAGTACAACAGAAAAGTTGTCCAAATATGAATGATTAACCTATTAAACTGGGGATAAAAAAACTAATATGAAAAGTTGTTGTTATAAAAATCTTCATCTACTTGCATATTAAAGTTATACCAGCAAGAATTAGTCTTTATGTAGAAAACTAGGATTTAAATCAAGCCTTACTGACTAGTGATTTTAAATCTGTTTGATTTAAATCAAATCCACCCTGTTTTACAACATGTTGGAAAATGGTTTGGTAGCTGTCACTTCTGACGCTTCCCCATGGGTTGGCAGCTACAGTCCTTAAACTGGCTTAATTTGCTTTTATTAGGAGTATTTGGCTGACTGTAGCCTCTTCATAGAAATGATACGTTGTCTGAAATTCTTAATGAATGTTGTGACTCATGAGTGACATCACTGAAACTACATTCTGCAAGTCGCTTCCTATTACCCTTGGTGCATAATTGCTCATGGTATTGGTATTCATATTCTCAACATTCTTGTATGTAAATCCAATCAGAAGTTTTCAATATATTTAAAGCTGAACTCTATTAATAGTTAAAAGGCATTTGAATGCCTAAATGGGAGTTGTATCCTAACAAAATTATTCAAATTCTGAGCTGCACAGACTTGCCAGACTGCACGGCAAGGTTGGTGATGGCAGATTTTTTTTTTTTTTGTGCTTAAACAGCTAGGCTATCTGATTCTGGGAGAGTAAGGAGCAGCAAGAGACTGAGCTCTGCTTTAACATTTTTGTTGGCACATACAGGACACCATATTGAGGGCCCAGGTGCTGCACCTACCTTAGCCTTTCTATAATCTAAAATGGGGATCCACGGAAACATATTGGCTGAAAATGGCTCTCAGCATTTAGCTGGTACAGGACTGTACTGATTCTGTGAGCTATAGTGAAGAAAAGCCAGCAATTGCATTTAAAAACCAGCAGTGACAGCCAGCGAGGGAGTCTCACTGTATACAAAGGTCCTGTCCCTCATATGCTATCACATAAAAATAAATACATGAAAGTAGGAAAAATGGAGCATCCCCACCCCCCACATGCAGATGTGTTGGTTCAGTTTTCAGCCACATGCATTCTGAATTTTCAGTATCTGTTTTGGCACCAGAATTTATTTCGGTGCACCACTACTCAAAATGTGTAAGTGTTTGTCAACCCTTCTGTCTCCTGAAATGTCCTCTGGATAGGAAATGAGGGCAAAGCCCAACAGGGTTATACCCACCCCCATTCAAGTCTTGGTTGGACATACTTTTGTGCAGGTCCTTCAGGCATTTTTGTTAGTGAAGGGTTCTGACAGCTTGTTGTATGGCCTAAATAAATTCTTATTGCACTTTTGTTTTCATGCAAAAAGAACACCTCCAAGAATACCTGGAAAATTTGCTGGGCAAAGTGGTGTTGGGAATAATGAAACAGTCTTTGGCTGTTTCAAACCAAATTATTTTAAAAACTAAAACATTTAGTTTTAAGATGGGTGTGCTGGAGGATTATAACTGGCAAGTTGTAGTCCAATGACTATACTAGTGACCACTAGGAGTATCCCACGGGTGCAAGGAAATATCACCTATGGGATATGGTTGGGGTGGGTTTAATACTCAACAGGAGAATTGTGCAGGTTCACTTTAAATCTACTACAGTATCTTCACTATAACTGCATCAAACACTAAGCTTTCTAATGTCTTTATTTTTTTCCATTTAGGGCGAAGCAGAAATACCAGGTGAGTAGCTCATTCTAAATAGTTCTGTACAGTTACATATGCTAAAGATTTAGTTCTGTTGCCAATACACTGTTTCTCTCCATAGAAACAGAGTCTGGAAAAGATGGATCTCAAGCTGCTGGAGAAAGCATACAACCTGCTGCCCCTGTAGCAGTAGCTGGTAGGCGAAACCCTCCAGGAGGAAAGTCCAGTCTGGTCCTGGGCTAAAGAAACTGAAAAGCTTTAGAATTTTCTTCCATGTGACTGTACATGTGTTCCTTGTTTGAAGCACTTTGTTCTACCCTCTCCTTGTTGTGTTTTGGGATCTACTGGAAAAGGCATGAATGGTTTTCTATTCTCATGTTTGTACTTTTTTTTGTTTCACATAATAAACAATGTTAACGGTTGCTGGTGTATTGTGATCTTAAAGGATGGATTTTTACTAAATACATGCATAAATTACAGTAGGTACTAATGCAGCTGCTTCTGAGACTTGGGAGTTAGTCTTCTGTGGGGTGGGGGGGGGGGGGGTGAAACACACTGTAGATTAACAGCTACTCTCCTGTCCCATGATCAGTTGGTGTGCTAGCCATAGCTGGCTCCAGCATGTTGATTCTGGGCACCTGGCTGTGACAGCCTGCAGCTTTACAGCCAGGTGCCCACTGCTCAAGCCATGCTGCACATTGTGAATGGTCCCATAGTCTTCTGGGACTTGTCAAATGTCCCAGAAGATTGCAGGGAAGGGTGAGGAGAACTTCCACTTCCTGGTCACCTAGGCTGTAGGAGTGAGTACCTGTCAAAACCAGGTACCTGCACCCCAAAGGTGCAATTTCTCACCCAGTAGCAGGGCATTAGGCTTAACTTTCCCTTTTGGGTGGAGCTCTGCTTTAAGATATCTCTAGCATCAAGCAAACATAAATGTTAGCTGGTTTTCAACTGGATTCAGTAAAGCTGTCTGAAGCCAAATCTTGACCACAGCCAGTGCTCATTAATATAAACTATCAAATGAACTGAATCTAAAAGGTGCAAGCCATGTGGAAGTTTGAAGCCTGCTGATTTTTAAATGCTTGCTGTACACCTGTCTATACTCATCAGTTTAATATTTTCCCAAAAACTACATTTCAAGGCATGCTGTGGACAATGAGTTGCTTATTGACCTAACATTTACTGCCACAATTTCAGCAGGACAGTCCATATTTGAAAATGTGAGTTTAAATTTTTTTCAGCTGGTATGACAAAGTAATTGGGATTGCAGCTGCAGGCACTTCCTGGGAGATCAGTAAACTACACTTCTCCTGACTGAACAAACGTGTTCTGAATTTGGGTTCAGGGCCCTAAGGTACTGGTGGCATATGCTGGGTGTACAGGGTAATGAGTTTTTCACCTGTATTGGCTGGAGGAGACCCTTGCTGTTCCTGCTATGTCAGTACATTCAAACAATGGTTCAAAAACATTTAACCATAAAATGTACATGTGCTTTAACTTCACATACATCTCTAGTGTGCACAGCTATTTCCAATATAATTTTAGGTCAGTTTTCTGGGCAGTTACTTGAGGGATTGGCTCTGCCTTGGCACAAACCAGATTGAAAAGCCCACCCCCTTACATCCAGGAGTGAATGTAATAATGTTCTGTACCCCTATGGATCTGATATGGTTGAGCCCTCGGGTGACACATTCCTGGTAAGGTTGCTTACCTGAGGGTTTTCCCTTAATGTGCTGGGCCTTGTTGCTTGACTGTAGGAACTCCAGCAGCCTATTGCTATTTTGGCCTCTTCTGCACCAGTAATGGCACTGGTGATCTTTGGTCCCCCTGTAGAGTTTCTTACTGCATTTTTACAACAGTATAGTACCTCTTGGGCAGGTCACCTGTATGGGAAGCAGAGGGAGACAAAGATGGCCCCACTGTTTCAGCACCAGCTGAGACTTCCTGCTGTGCAGGATGTGCACTTCAACCCAGCTACTCAGTCTGGGCGTAAACACCCAGTGGTCTACTAATGTTTGCACAAATGTCAAACATTTAACATTCTCAAGTTAGAATGAGATGTATAAGATGTCGTCTGTATTAGTTCAATCTTTTGTCCCCTGATCTAGCCAGTAGTACACCTCATCTATTGGAGTGCCTACACTCAAATGTGGCTAGTCCTCAAGGGCTTGTTACATGAATTAGCAGATTTGGATACCCTAACAAATTGACACTTTAACTCCAGCCTAGTGTTCATGTAGATTAGAAAGCTTTTTCCTCCCCCTCAGATCTTCAACTGCTGAGCTGGGTGACAGGCTGGATAATATAGATGCTATTGGTCTCCACAGCTGTGCCTGCAGACCCCTAGCTATGTGGCTTCTGCTGGGGAAGCCCATGAGTTTACCTCTGGAGCAGTGCTATGTATCTTCAGTACCTTGTATATATGCCTCCCTGGTGAACATCAGAAGTGTGGGCCTTGGGGCAGGCTGGTCTTGTCTGAGATGCTTTCTCCCTCAGAGTAATAGTGCATCTCTGGTGGCTATCTGCCTATGCAGTGAGTGCCATTGAAATCCTGCCTGTGGGCCCATTATGCTAGTATTGATGGCCAGTCATTTTGCTTAAGTCTGAGGCTTTCCTAGGTGCAGTGGTTGTTTGTCACTTGCTTGCAGGTGGCCATTTTTTGGGAGCCCAGTGGTGGTGACCCCAGTTTTATTGACTTTTTATGTGGCTCTCCTGATGGGGGGGGGGGGGGGGGGGGGAGAAATGCTTCTATCCAAGCCACTCAGTCTCAGCTCTGGCTGGCTGAAACAGCTGTGGGTAGTAGCTGCTTCCCTCTGGCTGCTTTCTGGTACTGGGTACAGTTGGTCATGCTGCCCCCACAGCTCATTTGCAACAATTTGGGATGGGAGCTCAGTGCCTGGCCTGTTTAAGGGTATGCTACCTCTTGCTCCTCCCCATCTGACACTAGGGTAGGAGGTCATCTTTCTGCAGATCCTTGGCCATATAAGATGCATATCTGCACATTACAATCTATAAGGCATATGGTGTGTGGCTTTTTTTTTTTTCTTTGCTAATCACTACAGGGGGTTAGTTTCCAGCCTAGTACCTTTTGGCTCAAGGAGAAATCTCAGTTGCCCATCAGTGTCCTGGAGCTGCATGCAATTAGATTGGTTTGTCAGTCTGGTGGCTAGGATGAGGGATCCCTAGTAGCACCATGGAGCCATTTGTGTGGGTTTTTTTTTTTTTTTTTTTTGGTGCCTTCCTGCCATTGAAACAGTTTCCAAGACTGTTACAAAGGATAGAGACTAAAAGGGTTCCAGTACTTCATGTAGCACTGGCATGGTCTCATTCTTGACACACCAACATGCTGCTCCTGGTTGTGGATGTTTCTTGACATCTCCCTCTGCAAGAGTGGTTTTGGTTTTTTTTTTTTTTTTTTCCCCCATCTGGCTTTTACCATTGCTAGCTTGATGGCCTCACCATTGACCAGGTTCCATAAACCTTTCTATGCTGAAGGCATGTAGATTCACTTCTTGGAATAGTCAACAAAAGCCCCTGTGCTGCTACCTACCTTTTTACTAAAACTGAGCCGTTATCACAATGTGGTTCAAACAGCTCAACAAAGAATAAATGCAGCGTGCCTACTAACAAAATCACAACAAAACACTAATAAAATATTGAATGTGTTGCGCTCATCAAAAAAGTGTTTAGTGATATATGATATATAATTATGTAAATAAATAAAATAAATTCTTAAATAAAAGATATATATAATCTCATAGTAATATAATTTAAATTAAATTTAAAACGCTCCCAGTGCTATAATTAATTTGATTATAAATAGCTAAAATTATATATAATGTTGTGAAAAAATATATATACAATATGCCACAAATCAAGTGAGCAAAGAGAACCTCCTTGCACACTAATATATGTGCAAAAAATTGTGCATGTGCAAAAATACAACTTGCCCCCCTGAGGAAGCCATGTGACCCTGTGGCGTAACGTGTAGGGGAGGGGCTCTGACGTCACGACGCCACTACCAGCGGAACGGCGAGTACTGTCTTTGTGCGAGGGCACACATTTTAACAAAACGCTCTGTATTGCTCTGTGGAATGTGAGTTTGCACTTGTCTGGAGACGCATTAAAATCTTTTTAAAAGGATATAAGCACCATGTGGGGATTTTTCTTTTTCATGGCCTAAATCGGAGGAGTAAAAGGGGAGGAAGAGGAGATAGGAGATAGACCCCAAACTAAACGAGGGGAGATATCCACATCTATCCATCCAGCCCTCATAACTCGGAAGGAACTGGGAGGCCATCTAGTGGAAGGAAAGCAACACCACAGTCTACTTTAACAGCAATAGACTTTCCATATATTTGTACAGATTGGGACATTTAGATCTCATCTAAGCTAAGGAATAGAAGTATATAGTCCTAATCACCGCTTCAGGTTGCACAAGTGGAGTGATTACAATACATTATTTTGCACAGTTTTCATTATTATTTATTTTTCCATATTTAATTGAGTACTGCACTTTATCATATATATTTTTGCATTATTTTGGGCAATATTTGTATTTTTGCACATGCACAATGTTTTGCACATATATATTGGTGTGCAAGGAGGTTTGCTCACTTGATTTGTGGCATATTGTATATATTTTTTCACAACATTTTATATATATTTATATATTTTTAGCTATTTATAATCAAATTATAGCACTGGGAGTATTTTTTTAAATTTAATTTAAATTATATTACTATGAGATAAATAATATATATTCTTTTATTTAAGAATTTATTTATTTAATTTATACATAATTATATCATATCACTAAACACTTTTTTGAGGAGCGCGACACATTCAATATTTTATTTGTTTATTTTCACACAGCATTTTGAGTGTGTTTCATGTGTTGATGCACCATCACATTTAAATTAGTTAATTAATTATAAGCAATTCTATGCCACCATAGTAGCTCACAAGTATACACCCTTATAAGATTAGTACAACAAAACACTAAATGTGATAGCCAACAATTATACAGAAATCTAATATTGCAATATAATTAAAGTACAATCTGCTATAAAAGTATAATGCAATGTACATTAAAAATGTGGTGAATTAAACCTTTGGGCTTTTCCCTTTTGGGTATATAAACTTTTTTTTATTCCAGTGAATAAACTGGTTCAATGGTCCCAAGTGAGCAGATATTCCAAGTGCAAAAATCTAACAAATGCACCTGTCTTCTACCCCCATAC